GATAACGGCTGCGGGGTTGCTCGAGCCATGAGTCAGGGAACACCAAGATGGGTCTGACACCGATTACCCTGGGTTATGTGCCGCTGCTCGACAGCGCGGTGTTGATCGCCGCCCAGGAACAGGGTTTTGCCGAGGCCGAGGGCCTCGAATTCACCCTGGTGCGCGAAACCTCGTGGGCCAATATCCGCGACCGCGTTGCCGTGGGCCATTTCGACGGGGCGCATATGCTTGCGCCCATGCCGCTGAGCGTAAATCTGGGATTGACGCCGCTTGATGTGCCGCTCGTTGCGCCCATGGCCCTGGGGCTCGGGGGCAATGCCGTTACGGTATCCTTGCCGCTTTGGCGGGCCATGCAGGAGCAGGAGGCGGTCTCGGGGGTCGATGCAAGGGCCAGCGGAATGGCGCTCGCCCAGGTGATTGCCGCCCGGCGCAAGAAAGGCCTTCCCGCGCTGCGCTTCGGGGTGGTTCATCCCGAGAGCGGGCACAATTACGAACTGCGCTACTGGCTGACCGCTTCAGGCGTCGATACGACGCGTGACATCGAAATCGTCGTCGTGCCGCCACCCTTCTTGCCCGATGCGCTGGGTGCCGGCCGCGTCGACGGGTATTGCGTGGGTGAGCCGTTCAATTCGGTCGCCGTTGCGCGCGGGGTGGGGCGCATCGTGACGATCAAATCCTCGATATGGCGCTCCAGCCCGGAGAAAGTGCTCGGGGTGCGCCGCGAATGGGCCGAGCGGTTTCCCGAACAGATCGCGGCGGTCATCAGGGCCATAACCCGCGCCGCGCGGTGGTGCGGGGACCCCGACAACCACGATACACTGGCCCGGGCCCTGTCCAGGGAGGACCGGTTGGCCATTTCCTCGACCGTGCTCATGCGTGCCCTGACGGGACGGCTGTATATCGGTGACAAAGACATTGTCGAGGTGCCGGACTTTTTTCTCCCGTTCGAGCGCGCGGCGAATTTCCCCTGGATCAGCCATGCATTGTGGTTCTATTCCCAAATGGTGCGCTGGCGGCAGGTCAGCCATACTGCCGAAAATGCTCAGAAGGCAGTCCGCACATATCGTCCCGACATTTATCGCGCGGCGCTGGCCGGGATGGGAATCGCGGTTCCCTCGGCCAATGCCAAGGTCGAAGGCGCGTTGATCGAGTCTACGGCGCTCGGCGCGCTCGGCGGGAGCCTGTTGCTTGGTCCGGACGGGTTTTTTGACGGCACCCAGTTCGACCTCGACGCGCTTGACGCCTATATCGCGCGCCAGGCTCTCTGAGCCGGTCTGTGACCGGGCTTTAGGCTGCCACTGCGATGGGCAGTAGCGATTGCCAGCGTAAAAATTGTGCATTCTGCGCGAGTCTTGGGCGCCCGCAACGTTGAGGCGTGCAGGGGACGTCGAGCGCTCTGATTTCTTAACATTCTGATTTTCAACGATCTTCTTGTTCTTCCCGCAACTGGCACGCTTTGTGCAACATCGTTGGCAATGAGCTCCTCCCAAGACGGCTCATAACAGACCTGGCGTCCAAGGGCGGGCGCCGCGAACATGGCAAAGCCGCCAACTGGTGCGTGTGACCGGGCAAATGCTCTCGGTGCGCGTTTCGGTTGGCGGCTTTTCGTTTTGCGGCGCGCCGGCTGGTCCATGCCAGGCAAATGGTGCAACCGACGGAGACGACAATGAACTGGAACAGGGGCAAGGCCGTAACCGCAGCTCTCGTGCTGCTCGCCACCACCGCTCTGGGCGCTGGCGCGGCAAGGGCCGAAATGCTCGATCTTGAAAAGGACGAGCTGACTTTCGGCTTCATCAAGCTCACCGACATGGCACCGCTCGCGGTCGCCTATGAGAATGGCTATTTCTGGGACGAAGGATTGTTTGTCACCCTTGAGGCGCAGGCCAATTGGAAAGTGCTGCTCGATGGCGTCATCACCGGCGATCTCGACGGGGCGCACATGCTTGCCGGCCAGCCGCTGGCCGCAACCATCGGCTATGGAACCCCTGCCCACATTGTAACTCCGTTTTCGATGGATCTGAACGGCAACGGCATCACCGTCTCCAACCAGGTCTGGGAGCTGATGAAACCCCACCTTGAAATGGACGCCAATGGGCGGCCCGTGCATCCGATTTCGGCTGCCGCACTTGGGCCCGTCATCGAGGAATATGAGTTATCGGGCCGTCCCTTCAACATGGGCATGGTGTTTCCGGTTTCCACCCACAATTACGAATTGCGCTACTGGCTCGCCGCCGGCGGCATCAATCCCGGCTATTATTCACCCGACGACATCTCAGGCACAATTTCGGCCGATGCCTATCTCTCGGTCACTCCTCCTCCGCAGATGCCCGCGACGCTCGAAGCGGGCACCATCGACGGATATGCGGTGGGCGAGCCCTGGAACCAGGCCGCGGTGTTCAAGGAGATCGGCGTACCGGTCATCACCGACTACGAAATCTGGAAGAACAACCCTGAAAAGGTGTTCGGCATCACTGCCGAATTTGCCAAGCAGAATCCCAACACCACGATCGCCATCACCAAGGCGTTGATCCGCGCCGCCCAATGGCTCGACGAGAACGATAACGCCAACCGTGCCGAAGCTGTCGAAATTCTCTCGCGCTCCGAATATGTCGGCGCGGACGCTGAAGTCATTGCGGCTTCGATGACGGGCACATTCGAATATGAACGCGGCGACGTGCGCGAAATCCCCGATTTCAATGTCTTTTACCGCTATTACGCGACCTATCCCTACTATTCGGACGCGATCTGGTATCTCACCCAGATGCGGCGCTGGGGACAGATTGCCGACGATAAGCCCGACGATTGGTACGCCGAAATCGCCGAGTCCGTCTATCGCCCCGACATCTACCTCGAAGCGGCCCGCCTGCTTGTCGAGGAAGGGCTGATCGCGGAGGCCGACATCCCCTGGGATACCGACGGTTACAGGGCGCCGACCGATGAGTTCATCGACGGCATTACCTATGACGGCACCCAGCCCAACGCCTATCTCGAGGCCCTCGAAATCGGTCTCAAGTCCGGCGACCGGGTCGAAGGCTCAAGCGTCGTGCCGGGCGCAAACTAGCAGAAAACCTCACACTTTGGGCGGCTGGGCGATCCCGGCTGCCCGCCAGAAAACAAGGGATGTTTCGACAATGAGCATCGCAACCGACACATCGGAAACACCAGGTGGCGCTCGCCGCCGCGAGAAACTCTTTGCGGTCATCAACCGGGCATCGGCCTGGCTGACGGCTCTGGGTTTTGGCTGGCTGACGCCCTTGCTTCGCATCTTGGCCGGCGACGATCCGCGCCAGCAGATGGGCGAATTGCGCGACAGCCTGCTTTTCCCGCTCATGGGCCTCACGGTCTTTGTTGCCGGCTGGGCAATCCTTGCGCCGCAGGTCCAGACATCGCTGGGGGCCATTCCCGGCCCGGTGCAGGTGTGGGAGCAGGCAGGCGGATTGTTGCAGGACCATCAGGCTGAACGCGAGCGCGAGGCAAGGTTCTACCAGATGCAGGAAGAGCGCAATGCCGAGCTTCTGGCCGAAGACCCGGGGGCCGACGTCCGCATCCGGGCCTATACCGGCAGCCCGACCTTCATCGACCAGATATTCACGTCGCTGAAAACCGTGGGGCTGGGCTTTGCCTTCGCAACGATCGTCGCGGTGCCGCTCGGCATCGCCTCGGGTCTTTCAAAGCCCTTTAACGGCGCGCTGAACCCCATCGTTCAACTGTTCAAACCTGTATCGCCGCTTGCCTGGCTGCCCATTGTCACCATGGTCGTATCGGCGGTTTACGTCGATGCGTCCGAAGCCTTCCCCAAGGCGCTGGTGATCTCGGCGGTGACGGTGACGCTGTGTTCGCTCTGGCCGACGCTGATCAACACCACGCTCGGTGTGGCCTCGATCGACAAGGATCTGGTCAACGTTTCCAAGGTGCTTCGGCTTTCGACCGCCAAGACGGTCACCAAACTGGTGCTGCCCTCGGCGCTGCCGCTGATCTTTACCGGTCTGCGTCTCTCGCTCGGTGTGGGCTGGATGGTGCTGATCGCCGCCGA